GCAAACATAACCACAGTCAGTTTTAGAACATTTTCTTCATCTCAAAGAGAAACCCTGCCCCTTAAGCTATCACCTACTTATTCCTCGTATCCATTCCCAGCCCTAGGAGACCACTAATTTCTTTCTGCCTCTGTAGACTGATGCTAAACTATTTTTTAAAGGTATTTTTATTATTTATTCTTCGGTTCAAAAGAATACACAGTAGATCTACAAGGAAACATTCCATTAAGATTAATTTTCTCCATAGATATACACTTTAATCAGCACATTGTAAAGTGTCCTATTCTTCATGACAATAAGTATGGTTGCATGATGAGGAAAAGAGCATATTTTCCTGCTGAGAGACTCCTATAGATTTGTCACATTCTCAAATATGAAAAACCACTGCTTTAAAAAAAGAAATTGTTTGGAAGAAATCTAAGTTTTCTAAAAGAAAAACACCTTTTCCCAGGAAAAAAATAAAATTGGTGAAATCAGGGAAATGGACAGATATAAAATAAACAAACAAAATCAAAGACTTCTCTCCCATAGAATGACAGTAATACTAGTTAATAAATATGAATCAGAAACAAACCTTCCTCAAAATACTACCTGAAATAAACCATAAAATACCAAAAATAGGACTTAGATAGGGAGCACATAAAATATTTTACCAAAAGATATAAAAGCAGGGCTTCCCTGGTGGCGCAGTGGTTGAGAGTCCACCTGCTGATGCAGGGGACACGGGTTCGTGCCCCGGTTCCAGGAAGATCCCACATGCCGCGGAGCGGCTGGGCCCGTGAGCCATGGCTGCTGAGCCTGTGCGTCCGGAGCCTGTGCTCCACAATGGGAGAGGCCACAACAGAAAAAAGTCCCCGTAACCCAAAAAAAAAAAAAAAAAAAAAAAAGCAAATAAGTGAGAAAAATACATATATTCCTGTTGAAAAATACCAGATGCTGAAATATGTCAATTATCTCCATGTAAATTTGCAGATTTACTGCATACTAACACTATAGGTCAGTTTTAGGGGGAGGTAAGAGGTGGAAGCGATGTAACAAAGTGATTCTCAAATTAACCTAGAAGAATAATAAGGAGGTAAACAGTATATTTTAAAAAGAGGATTTTATAGGACATATATGTCATATAAGAAATTAAAGCATACTATATCAGATGTAATAATCAAAACAATGTTGTACTGGTTCAAGACATATAGAGAGAAAGAAGGGGGCAGGCAGCAATCAGAGCCTAGAAACAGATCTTAGTATTTATATAACATATTATGATAAATGTGGCCTTCAAAATAGGTTGGGAAAGGACAGACATTTATGAACTGAATGCTGCATTCCCCCCGAAATTCTGTTTTGAAGCCCTAGTGCCAGTGTAGCCTTGTTTGGAGAAGAGGGCTTGGAGAGATTTAATTAAAGTCAAATGAAGTCATATGGGTAAGGTCCTAATCTGATGGGACTGGTGTCCTTATAAAAGGAGAAGACACTAGAATACATGCTGAGGAAGGGCCATGTGAGAACACAATGAGAATGTGATCATCTGAAACCCAGGAGGGTCCTTACCAGAAACCAACCATGATGGCACCTTGATCTCAGACTTTCAGCCTCTGGAACTGTGAGAAAATAAATTTCTGTTGTTTAAGCTACCCAATCTATATATTTCATTATGGTAACCTGAGCTGAATAAAACAACAGATTATCACAATAATGTTATTGGAGGTGATGAGTCATTTTCAAAATAAAGTCCAACGTCACACACAACACTAAAATAAACTTTTAGTTTATGAATTATATGTTAAACAAGTAACTACAGAAATACTAAAACTAAATATAGACAAATAATTACATTTATTTGGAATAAGGAAGACATAAATAGTAAGGTTAAAGATCAATAAATTTAACTCCATTAAAAATTTTAAACTTCTGTAAAGCCATGGAAAAGAAAATCAAAGGTTAGAAACACATGAAACTAAGGAAATATTTACAACCTATATATCAGACTAGAGATTAACATTCAGATTAAGGTTAATGTTAAACATTAACATCCATGTGTTACTAATAAATATAAAATAAAATGATTAAAATACAAAATAAAGGCAATGCATAGGAAATTCTAAGAAGATATACAAATAACTAAAAAGATGTGAAGAGATTTTTAATATCAGTATTAAAGAAAACCATTAAATTAATTTCTGACATGTAATTTCTGACATTATTATTATATTGGGAATGACTTATTGTTTTTAAACGTAACTTTCTGCGGAATAAAAGGAATAGGGAAATAGGAATTCTAACAGATGATGCTTAGTGATGCTAAATGGTTCAATCTTTTTGTATAGCAAATTAGCAATACACATCCAGAGCCTCAGAAATATACAGATCCTTTAACTCACTAAATTCACATCTAAGAATTTATCCTAAGTATAATTAATGTGCAAGGATATGTTAATAAAAATATTTACTTCAATGTTTATAACAGCTTAAAAAAACTTTTTAAAAAAGTATATCAAGTGAATTAATTTTTTAAAATGGTACATTCCTAAAAATGGGATATTATACAAATGCACATTAAAACTAATACAAATTCATTAGATATTAAATGAAAAATACAGCATGTTTTACGTAAAATATATATTGTATATCATGTATTCATTCACAGAAAAAGGGGTCTTGAAATTTACATATAAGAAAGCTAATAATAATCATGCCAGGGATCATGGCCAAACTCGTTACTATTAATAATCAATATTTCCTAACTATCTTTTAATAACCATGTTATCTTTGTATAACTTTTTTATGTAAGAGCACACCATGCAATGGAGGAAAGTAAAGCATTTAAAAAATGATCCTAGGACAATGGATATACTATTGCAAGAAAAAATAAAACGAGATCTTTAATCATACTCTAAATGACAATAAGAATAGGTGGTAGTAACTACATAAATGTGTAACAATCAAGCCATGAAATAGTTGAGACTGTTTTTTAGTCTCAGAACAGGCAGAACTTTTGAAAAATATTTTTAAAATTTCCAGACTTTATTATGACACAAGCATATTAATGGTAAAAATGTCAGGTCAAGTCCTTGGACACAAATAAGCAATGGGAGAAATTTTAAAATAAGATAAATATAATTAGATACATAAACATTTAACATTTTAAATACTAAAGAAAAAACCACCAACAAAAATAAAAGGAGAAAAATATTTGCAACACATTCAATAACGACATACCCTCTTTGGTTTCAAACTCATACGTTAATCAATCTCCTAGAACCTACTGCTTGAATGGCACAAAAAGTATCTCAAAGTAATCACAGCCAAAGGTAACTTACGACTTCCCCACTCCAAACCATCAAAACCAACACTATCATCCAAGGAAGGAAACTATAAACCTAGGCATTAGCTTGATACTTCTTTCTACCTTACCTTTTATATATTAAACCATCAGAAAGTATAATTAATCTTACTTCCTAAAAATCTCTCAAACTCATCCACATCTCTCTATATCTACTATCACCTTGATCCAGCAATCATCATCTCTTGTCTGGAATACTAGACTAGCCTACTAACTGTTTTCCCCACATCCATTCTCATCCCTCATCTGTAATTTAGCCAGAACAATCTTTCAAAAATAGAAATCTGACTTTCTCACTCCAATTTACCCTACTCCTGCCCCCAATACACACATACTCACTCAACCCACTGCTTAAAGGGTCAAACAGGTCCTAAATAATATGACACCTACCTACTTCTTTATTCTCACTCCCTACCTTAGTTGCCTAGCTTTCTATGTTTATGTTCTAACCACTGGGGACATCTTTCAATTTCCTAAAATGGCTACAATCCCTTCAATTATAGATTTTACACATGGTATTTACTCTAGAACACTTGCTAATGACTAGATAAAGAGATGAAGGGTTATGAATGACTTTTAAGTTTCTGGCTAGCATAACTAGATGTATACTATTCTTGAAATTTTTTAAATACCAAATTATCTTCTATTATTAACTCCTCACTATTATTCCTCAAACACTTCAGACATAAAAGTACCTCAAAGTCCTTGTACTACTGTTCCTTTCACCTGGAATGATCTTTTAATTGATCTTTACACAAATAGTTACTCCTTGATATTTAGATCTCAGAATGCCACTTCAGATCAACCAGTCAAAAGCAGGCACCTTGTTGCCCTAATCTATCACTCTATTTTAATTGTCTACATTGCATTATCACTGTCTGATATTCCTATTTATTTGTTTATTGGGAATCTCCCCAATTAAAATATAACTCTCTGAGAGCAAAGACTTTATTCTTATTCATTCTTGTATTCCCATTGCCAACATGTAATCCTTGTTTAAGAAATATTGAATGAATGAATAATTCAGAGCCAGCATTCTCTGCTTGTAATAAAGTAGATTATCATCAACAATTGATGCTATCATAAAATATATCAATAGATCATGGGAACTCATAATTAAGCAACTTACTGAAATGTTGTAGAGTAAGAATAAATCTGTGAACTCCAAATCAGTATTAACAGGCATTATGAAGGCAATATGGAGTAGTGGCTAAGAACATGGGCTCTGCAGTCACACCGTCGCGGTTTGAATCCAAGCTCCACCACTTACTGGGTGACATCAGGCTGGTTACCTAACCTCTCTGAGGTTCAGTTCCCCAGGCTATAGGGTAAATATAACAATAGCACGTGCCTTATAGGGATGAAGGGAGGATGAAATATATATGCAGTACACAATAACAATATAATAACAATGCCTGAGACATAGACAGCAATCAAATGTTAGCTGCTGTTTTCTTATTGCAAAGAGCATTCACAAAAGTGGGCTTAGTGTTAGAGAACATGCAGTTTGAAGTGACTACTTCCATACATCTTTGAAGAAGATGACTCCAAATGGGTGATTTCAAACAATACACATATGATGATTTTAAAGCAGTAGAAGACTGAATAGCATATAGATAATTAGCTTGAAGTAAGAACTTCTCTCGTGCTTCTTACATACCGAGTGAGTACGGAGTGCTGCGATGGTTTTTGAAAGTGCCATTTCCCACAGTTCATCGATGTAGGCTCTATTTACTAAACCCTGGGTTGTATGTAAAATGTGATCTTCAACCACAAAAAAGCTAAGATTGAGGAAAAAAGAAAGCACAGCTGTCAGAAATTACAGTTTGACTACTATCATAAGGGGATGACAAACATTAAGAGTTGTCATCAAATTGGAAGTTAATACTAGTCATTTTTTCTTAAAGAAAGCTGTTTAGTATCACAAACAAAATCAGATTTCTTAGACTTGGAATTATACCTCTGATCATGATATCATCTTAACCACTTCTTTAGAAATTGGAGTTACATTCCTATTAAATGTTAACCATGTTATCTAGAAATTTTAAAGGGAAGAAGAAAAATGTTTATAGGTAAAGAAGGCTAATTTCACTACATTAAAATCAACAGCCCATTAATACATTTTAAAAAATGAATAGAATCTAAAGAGATAATGAAAGTTAAAACACGCATTTTTTTTAAGAATCCAACACACAAAATACCAAAATAATTCCGCTTATATAAACTTTCTCATCAAAGTGCTGAAAAGATATCTTACAAAGGTAAAAAAAAAAAATACACACGTATTTTTTAACATTCTTCTGTGGCTTCTTAATTTTTACGCATCTAAAATGTATCTTCAGCTTTCTTGCCTAAATATTCATACAAATTAAAACAATTCTTTAAATAGGGAATTGTTATGATACATTTTAATCAAAGGTATCAATTACATTGCAACAATCTAAACCTGGAAAAAAAAGAAATTTCATGGAACAATCCAACTTATTTCCCTTCTTTTTAACTGCAAAGTCACTATTTTGCAATTAGAATAAGCTGTCTATATTTGGGATGTTTATTTGGGAACTGCAATTCCATACTAGTATATATACTCCAGATGAGGATGGCAAACTATACAGTCCATGGAACAAATCTGGCCCACTGCTTGTTTTTATAAACAGTGTTTTATTGGAACACAGCCATTGTCTTTCATTTACATATTGTCTATAGCTGCTTTCGTACCACAACAAAGCTGAATAGTTCTAACAGAAACCGTATGGCCTGCTGAGCCTAAAATACTTTACTATTTGGCCCTTTTAGAAAAAAACTTGCCAACTTTTGCTGATTATTTGGTTCCCTCTTAACAATAATGAAAAAACAGAACATCACATATAATAAGACTACAATTCAATATTTTTCTCCCTTTATCCATAAAAAGGATTCCTCAACAATATAGAATTATGTTCCCCAACATAATTCTATGAAACGAATAGACATTCCTTTAAAATCATCAGATATTCAAAACAAATCTTGTCTTAAGAATTTAGAAAAGAAAAGAAAAAAAATTTCCCAAAGAACACGATATACTTTTCCAAGTCTCACAAAAAGTGTATAAACAATTGAAAGTGTATAAATTTAAAACACACACACACATACCCACCCTACAATTTGATTAAAATACTTCCTGTAGCCATCTAAAGTTTCATGCTGCAACAAAGCAAAGAGAAAAAAGTTATTGTTTCTGTTTTGACACATTAAGACAGTTAAAATCAGCTAATTAATTTCTTAAGGCTCAATTCCAAAGACTATAAAGTAAACATAATAATAGTACCTACCTTATAGGATTACAGTGAGGATGAAATGAGATAATACATATCTAGTACTTAGAACAATGCCTGACACATAGCAAGCAACAGATGTTAGTTGCTACTTTCTTAATGCAAGTCACATCCAGTGGTCCCAGAGCGACAGTTTGGGGTGGAGGTTGGGGGAAGCCCAAATGGAAAATAATTAAAAGATACCAGAGAAGAAAAGTGAAAAAGGGAGAAAAGTAAAGGTGGTGATCCTACCATGTTAGAAGGAGGCTGGAGCACCAAACGAGCCTGTTTTCGCCTCTGTTTTCGGTAGTAGTTCTCAAACGTTTCCCGGGCACCCTGTTAAACAAACAAAAGGAAATGGGTTGATACATTTGGACCAATTACTCTAGTATTTTATGGGAAATTCCCAGGTCAGGAATTGAGGCAGCTCCACATTTCTCAAAATCTGCTATTTTAACACTGATAATCTTCGGAAAAATAAAAATAACTTATTGAACCTTACTTACAAATACCAATAGAGATCGATACAAAAAATTCTTAAGAGGAAACTACCAGAACTCAGCCTCCAACACACCAAAGCTGGTTTCTGAATCAATTATCACAAATTCACAAGAAAGACAAATCAACATTCTCATAGGTTATAACAACAGTTTAGAAAATGGTTCTTAAAAAAAAAACCTCACAGAACATTCCAGAATAAAAACTAGTCTCAAATAAATCATGACCAAAAGGCCAAAGGGAGGCAGGAAAAAGGCAGGAGCTGAGAACATTAAGTCAGTCTTCTCAGACAGAATATAATCTAGCACAGGATTAATACCAAAAAGGAAGAAACAAAGCCCTGAAAAGTCTTAGCACACAGTTTCTACTTTTCATTTAGGGTTTCTGGGCTTAAACTGAAAGGTGCTCTAGAGAACAAAAGCTAACTCATGAGCTCTATAACTAGGGTTGACTAGTGTCCTCTCAAAATTCATGTCCTTCCCAGGACCTCACAACATGAACCTATTTAGAAATAGGGTCATTACAGATGTAATTAGTTAAATTAAGATGCAGTCATACTACAGTAGGGTGACCCTTAATCCAATATAACTGGTGTCTTCATAAGAAGAGGAAAATGCTATATGAAGGCAGAAACACAGGGAGAACACCATATGGTGCCACAAGCAGAGATGGGACTGATGCAGCTGCAAGCCAGGGAACACCAATGACTGCTGGCCACCACCAGAAGCTACAGAAAGGCAAGGAAAGATTCTACCCAGAATCTGAGAGGGAGGATGGCCTTCTGTTATCCTCATTTTAGATTTCTAGTCTCCAAAACTGTGACAGAACAAATTTCTCTTATTTTAAGCCACCCAGTTTGTGCTACTTGATTATAGCAGCCGTAAGAAACTGATATAAGCTCAAAGCTTTTAAAACATGATGCTTCCCATTATTAAACTCTACTCTCAACCCAAGACTTTTCTAAATAAACAAGAGTAGAAAGGGAAAGACAGCATTACACAGTGGTTAAGAGTACTGATTTTAGAACCAAATGATTTTATTCAAATCATGGCTCTGCCCCTTACTAGCTGTATAACTCATATGACTAGCTATATAGCTTCCCTTTCATTATTTTAACTTCCAGTATTTAACTCTTTACCTTTCACTAATAGATGTGCTATGGTTTACTCATTTGTAGAGATGCCAAACTCACATGGTTGTAATAAGGATTTAGAAGAGTTATAAAGCTTTGAGAATAGTACCTGATAAATAATAACCACTATGCAAGTACTTGTTTAAAACATAAATAAGATGAAATCAGTGATGAAACAGAAAGCCCAGCCCATGTGAACATAAACTCCATGAAATACCTGGTTCAGTTTTCTTCACCTTCCCAAAAGTCTGAAGAATTTTACTCAACATGACTTCTTTGTTAGATCCCTAAACCGGGAAAACTGTTTAAGGTACTAAATCATGCAGCCTCAATAGTGTAGCTCAGGCGTTGGCAAATGTTTTCCATAATGGGCAGGACAGTAAATAGGCTTTGGTGAGCCATCCAGTCTCTGATGCTACTACTCAACTCTGCTGCTGTAGTGCAAAAGCAGCCATAGACAATTCATAAATGAGTGTGGCTGTGTTCCAATAAAACCTGATTTGTGAAAACTGAAATTAGAATTTCGTATCATTTTCACCTGTCATGAAACATTACTCCTCTTATGATTTTTTTAATGAATACCAACCATTTAAAAATGGAAAAGTTCACACAGGTCATACAGAAACAGGCAGTAGGCTGGATTTGGCCCATAAGTCACGGTTTGATGACCCCTGGGGTAGCTTAAAAACAAAGGTTTTAAAACACTAAAGTTATTATAACTGTACACATCTGAATTTTTCTGCCTAAAAAATGAAAACAAACATTAAGACAACTATTTCAAGGCTTTCTTAGTCTATAAGTTAGTGAGGTAGCAAATAATTCTATTTAAGAAATAAAAAGTGGAAACTGCCTCTTGGTTTGTTAAAGCTGTTCCCCACTTGTCACCATTTCACAGCATAGAGGTATTATTAAATGTCAATTACATTCTATACACACTGAATGGCTTTTCATTTTAAGGTTAACAGCCCTAAAGGCCCTTTATTATTTTAGTGTGACGTTACACTTTCAACATGCTTTCTAGCCAAGATACACTTAGCTGAGAATTTAGGGAAAGCCTTCTAATTAGAACACACTATATTAACTTAATTATTTGTTGTAAATGGTAGAAAATAAACAAGATGAAATTCTATATAAAAACCAAATCATGAACCTCTACTTAATTCTAAAGTATATACATTTTGCTTTTTCAATAAAATTAAAACATAAGAAAAGACCAACGTATCTAATAGGTCTGGCTTCCCCATTTACAAAAATGAGCTAGATTTTCCCTAGTGGGTGCTAAATAAATTCACCTCTGATTATTCTATTTCCTTTGCCAATTTTGTCAACTCAATGCTTATAGGAGAAATTTGAGAAATAGAGGTCTGACCAATCCAGTTGAGTAAATGATGAAGTGCCTGTCTATTCACAAATAAGTCAACAGACAGCGAACTACAGAGTTCTGCCACTTCAGCCTCAAGCTCCTTTAATCACTCAAATGAAAAAACAAAACACAAACCAAAAAAGCCACCTCAAAAGCTACTGAAGGTATAAACAAATAGATATAAAACAATCGGCAGGCAAGCAAAAGTTGTTCTGTTTTTCATTTTATGTCATTAGTATGACAGTGCTACAAAGGCTGTATAATAATTAATGAATGAATACACACAATGTCACAGAAAAATTAGTCACAGTGTATATAAAGTGCTCACCATGTGATAGACACTGAGAATCTCCTTACTGAATTTATAGTCTATGGTGGAAGACTAGAAATTAAACAAGCAATTACATAAAATCCTATTAAAATTATATTAGAATCCTATGTATTGAAGTGGGATGTATGTCTGAGTGTGTGTGTGTATGCGTGTGCGCACGTGCACCTAGCGGGTGGGAGGAATGTTAGAGAAAGAGTCTCAGGAAAAAAATGACATTTATACTCATAATTGAAGAATGACTCAGAAGAATAAGCCAGGTAAACAGAAAGAAAAAAAAAAATGTTCCTTGTAGACACAGAGAAGTTCAAAGAAAAAAGGTATCACATATCCCATGAATTGAAAGAAGTTCTTCATGGCTGGAACTTCAGGGTGTAAAGGAGAGGGATGACAAGAGACGAGGCTGGAGGACTTTGTAAATCGTGTTAAGATATTTGGACTTCAACTCTAGGTTTAGACACCTGGAAGTTGTAATATAGTGAGTAGAATAAAGGAAGGAGAAATTAGCTACAAAAAGATCAGTCAGAATCTGATACATATTTAGGAGGCATAAGCCAATTGGATATATGTGGTAAAGGACATGAAGGAAAGAAGGCTGATGTGAGGTTTCTAACCTAGTTAACTAGTTTGGCTGGTGGTGTCATTTAATGAGAGAGGAATCAGAAGAAAATACAGTTGATTATTACCCATGGTTTCCTAATTTGCAAATTTGCCTACCTGCTAAAATTTATGTGTAGCCTCAAAATCAATACTCGTGGCACTTTCATAGTCATTCAAGGACGTACACAGCGTGGGGAAAATTTTGCGTTCCCGATGCACATGTTCCTAGCTGAGGCCGAACAAAGCAACACTCTTCTTTCTTATTTCACTTCACACACTATAAACAATTATTCTTTTCATGGTCTATCTAGTGCCACATTTTTCAAATTTTTGTGTTTTAAAATATTTGAGGCATAATTGACATAACATTATATTAGTTTCAGATGTACAACTTAATGATTCAATATTTGTGTATACTGCAAAATGATCACCAAAATAACTCTAGTTAACATCTATCACCATGTAGTTATACATACTTTTTTTCTTGTAATGAGAACTTTTAAGATCTGCTTTCTTAGCAAGTTGCAAATATATAATACAGTATTATTAACTATAGTCACCATGCTGTACATTCCATCCCCAGGACTTATTTATTTTATAACAAAGTTTGTACCTTTTGACCACCTTCATCCAATTCCTCCAACCCCTACTCCCTGCCTCTGGCAACCACCAATCTGTTCTCTGTAACTATGGGTCCAGATGGGTTTTGTTCATTTATTTAGATTCCACATATAAGTGATTTACAACAGAGGGTCCGTCTTTCCCTGTCTGACTTATTTCACTTAGTATAATGACCTCAAGGTCTACTCACGTTGTCACAAATAGAAAGATCTCTTATTTGAAATCTTTATATGACTGAATAATATTCCATTGTACATATATGTACCACATCTTTATCCATTCATCTACTGATGGATACTTAGGTTGTTTCCATATCTTGGCTATTGTAGATAATACTGCAACATCGGGATGCATTTATCTTTTCGAGTTAATGTTTTTATTTTCTTTGGATAAATGCCCAGAAGTGGAATTCCTGGTTCATATGGTAGTTCTATTTTTATTTTTTTGAGGAACCTCCACACTGTTTTCCACAGTGGCTGAACCAATTTACATTCGACCAACAGCGTAAGAGGGTTCCCTCATTCCACATTCTGGTAGCACTAAAAAGGAGAATCCATGCAGTAGAGGGGTGAACAACCAATCTATTCATCAATTCAGGATTGTATTTTCAATCCAGAAGGCATACCATGGAAAAGGGATAAACTGTCTTTTGACTTTTAAGCTTTGCTCTGTTGATGACAGCAAAACACACATCACTCAACAGGTGGATTTCTCAATCCATTCTATCAGCTCTAAATGTAGAGAAAATTTATTCCAATTTGGACAACGTCGTGAATTATCAGTCTTATTTATCA